TTTTTATTTTATTATAATATTGTTTATTATTATTCCAATTTGGCAGTTACAACTGAAATGGAATTTCTAATAAAATAAGGCAGCATTTATGGTGCAATAACTGGTAAAGCTCTATGTAGAAGACTCACCTCTGTTTGGGGAAGATTATAAAAGAAAGAATAAATTAGTGAGAAGCTTCTTTGCATAACTCATCTGTCTTCCCTCATTGGCTGTCAGGATTTTCAGCTATACAAGCAGTATAGTTTATGAAATTATGGGAAGAATGGTGTCAGCTCTAAGAATATTTGGAAAAAAAAAGCCCTCATTTTGAAGAAAGCCATTTAAAGTTCTTTGAAAGGGCTTAAATATATATTCTCTTTCTGCCACTCATTTAACAGAAATCATTCCATATGTAATGATGAGGCTGAAGTAGTAACTGGGAAGTAGATTTTTAAACATCAGCACTAATTAAAATGAAGTGTAAACATTTGTTTTTTTGGTCTCCCTCTTAAACCCTCTCTATTTTTTTTCCTATGCATCAGTGATCAAGTCTTTCTGCACATTTGTACAGTCATCTGTTTAAAAGGTATTTATTCAGTTGCCGTGACAACTAGGTTGTATCTCTAACAACAGTGATTTAGTAGGTTTAAGTGATACAAATCTTTCTGACTGACAGGTATAATTGGAGACCAACTTTCTCATAGCAAGACTACAAAAACACCTGTTTTGACTACTATCTATCATGGTTTCAACATAAATAATTATCTATGAAGGGTTCAGGCAAGCCTGAAGGAGTGTGACAACTAGACAGATGCCTTGACACTCATGCATCACAGAACCAGAGGACCAAGAAAGAAATAAGGCTGTGGTTCAACTTCAACTGCGTAAAAAACACGAGGGAAATGCAGAGAGATTCCTCCCTATCTATGCTTCAGTCTACACATGCATCCTGTGGGTCAATCTAATGGTTCTTCTACTTAGTCACCCCACACAGAGTACATGCTGTCAATTCAAGTGTAATTTCCTTTATCCTCCTACTTACCAACTGACATTCTGAGGTCGAATGATAATCTTTCTGTATGCTCCAGAAAGTGAATAATCTCTGATCTTATGCCTCATGTTGTTGATATCAAGATTGTCAGCTACTAGCATTTCCTTGTAGGCCTCACCAACTGCAAGAGAAGAAAATACTTAATAGGAGAGAGTGTAGTGCAGCCAGTTGAAACAGCCCTTGTTTATGGATCATTCCATCCCTTATATTTAGTAGTTTTCAGCATATGTGGGATAAATGTTACGCAGAAGTTTAAAATTAGTTATTGCAAATCTTATTACCTACAATGTTTGCTTCTACAACCTGATTAGTAGAGGCAGTAAACAAGAAAGAATCTTAGTACATCAAAATTTCAGCTGAAAATTTACAAAATATTTTATTGACATTTCGTTGACATCTCATACATGCTTTCCAATCTAAACTTCACAAGACTAGTCTCAGGTATATAGAGAAAAAAAAAAAAATGGGCCAGAGTACCCATTGCCCGATCTTTGAAAAAGCAGAAGAGTGACGTAAGTTAAGAGAGCCCTCTGAAGAAATTAGCCAGTAGGGACCTTTAAGTACACTGCCAACAGGATTAATTCTATTACAGTCTTGTATCCTTAAGTATGGGCATGTGCATGCACACCTGGGGAAGACAGGGAAGGCAATGGAAATACAAGAATATACTGCAGCTGAAATGCTGTCTGGTGCCTTTGATTTGCAGTGCAATTGCCAGCATTAGTTCATGCAGTTGGGAAATTTAAACAGGAGTTAAGTTAGGCTTACTGCGGGCAAATGCCAGTATAAATATACTGAATGTAAAAAATTGCAGCTTTTCTTTCCAGCCTGTTAATTCAATGTGACTCAGTGCCACACCTCATCACAAACAGATGTTTACCTTCCAAGTGTTTCAGGAACACCGTGTTTCAGTTTATCACCGTAAACAGGATCCTAGCTCTGGGACTAATTTCTGACAGGCAGAGAGTCTCAAGAGACCTGACTGGTCTTTTAAGGACAACCAAGTACGAGAGCAGTTCAACAAAACATTGAGGAGAACAAGCATATGTATTGGGAGACTGGTTTGGCTAAGTAGGGAACTCATGACTCAGCTCGTATGTGTGGACACATACAGTAGGAGAAAGCTAGGGCCAGCTACAACGAAGGAATATATAAACATTGTCCAGGCACATAGGGATGGTGTTAGGAAAGCCAAAGCTCAGCTAGAGTTGAAATCGGCAACAGACATCAAGAGCAACAAGAGTTAAACTGCAACATCAGGAATGAAAGAATACAACAAGGAAAATGTTGGCCTGCTGCTAAATGGGACAGGTGGTCTAGTGACAGACATAAGACTGGTGGTCTCTGCGCCTCCTTTGCCTCAGCCTTGACCAGCAAGGTCTCCCAGGCCTCTGTTCCTAGAGGCAAGGTTCAGGAAAGAGAGGGACTACCAGTAGTGGAAGAAGATGCAGGCTGTGAAAGCAGGCTAACGTCAGAGTAAAGCTCTTCTCTATCATCTCTGAAAGATTGTGGAGATCTGGGGAGGTCCCAGGTGACTGCAGAAAACCAAGTGTGACACCCATCTTCAGAAAAGGCAAGAAGGATGATCTAGGGGATTAGATCAGGCAGACTCACTTTGGTCCCCAGGAAAAATAATGGAGCTAATCCTCTTGGAACATGTTTCTGGGTACACGATAATAGTGACCATGGTTTTACCAAAGGGGGAAAAAGGAAAAGAAAAACCAAAAAACCCACCAACCTTTCTGCCTTCTATGATGAAATTATTACATCTGATGAGGGGACAGCAGTGACTGTTGCCTACCTTGCCTTTAGCAAGGCTGTTGACATGTTCCCACAGCATCCTTGTATCCGAGGTTAGAACATTACAGTGGGTGGACTGCTAGATGGGTAAAGAACTGTCTGGATAGTCACTAGTGGTTTCAATTCTACCTAGGAGCTCATTACAAGCAGACTTCCTCAAGGAACTGGGATGTGTCCTGCTAAATACCTTTATCAGCATACATGGAGGGGCTGGAATTCACCCCAAGTTTGTGGACAAAATCAAGCCGGCAGCTGATACACCCAAGGGCAGGACTGCCACTCAGAGGGACCTAGGCAGGCTAGAGGAATGGGCCAAGGAAATTCAGCAAGGACAAAGTCCTGTACCTGAGTGTGATTAACTCCTTGCAATGGTACAGGCTAGGGAGCAACTCTGCTGCCAGTCACCTGGGACTCCCAGTGGAAAGGAGACTTAACAGTGCCCTGGCACCAACAAAAGCTAATGGCAACAGGAGCTTAGCCAGTAACTACACCAAGAAAAAAAATTACTGCCCTTTACTGGGCACTCGTGAGATTGCACTCGGAATAGTGCGTCCAGTACGAAGTACATGCTGATAAACTTGAATGTGTCCAATGGAGGACCACCCCAATGGGTGGTCCTTTGCTTTGACCAAACCCTGCTTTGACCAGCCTTGCTTTGAACAAAAAGTTGGACCAGATGGCCTCCTGAGGTCCTTTCCAACCAAAACGATTCTACAACTCTATCCCTTAATAATAACATCATGTTCCATGCAGATATAGATCAGTCAAGCTATTCAATTAAAAACAATTTTGATCCAATACACTGTATATACAGGAGATGAAAGATATGTCTTTTTTAATTTTTATTTTTAAAACATTCATATTGGTTAATATTTAAACAGAGCTGGTTCTTTTTTCCTACCTTCAGGCGTTTGCTTGGGTTACAAATTCTAGAAGTTTGGTTTGTTTTCTAATTTAAACATCAAATGCATACACTTTTCAATTAATATTTCACCATTTGTTTTCCCTTGGGCTGAGATAAATAATTTTGCGTCAGTAAAGAATTTCTTTCTTTGGAAAAGCTACTAGCTAAAAAGAAATACGAAACAGATTTATGTTAAATGAAACAAGTTACAATGCAGACTATTATTATCACAATGGGAGAGGCTGACAGTAATGTATAACGTATCAGAGATCTGAAATAGTGTATTGTTTTAATGGTCATCAATGATCTAGTCTTCCTTTTAAGAATGATCTTAAAGCAGAGTTACATTTTCAGTACATAAGTTAACAGTCAGACTTACTTTTATGCTTTGGATAAATAACATCAAATCCAGGCAATGGCATCACTACATCATGGATAGTGTAGTTATCAACATCTCCTTCTTCGATATGAACAGCTGTGGCTACAATCAGGACAGAAAAATGAAGAGTTACCAGTATGGATGCCTGTGACAGTTAACATTAGCTAAATTTAAAATGGACCATTTGATTGAAACAAGCCTACTTTGAGAGGGGTAACTACTATGTTTTATCTCCACTTAATAAACAACATTTTCAAGAAAAGTAGTAACAGTCTTCAAGGCTGTCACAGTCAGTGGCAGAATCACAGCCTGGTTTCCAGCGACTTTTAAGGCTGAATGAAGGACTGCTAGATGAACAGTCTCCTAACCAGGCATCAGGCATACATGAAGGGGAAATACTGTGGACATTCTCACCCCAGGGAAAAGCCAGAGCAAATCCAAGTGAAGAAGGTTTTAACTGAGTGGAGCCTCTGCTTCACAAGATACTAATGCAAACAGAAATTTCTGTGGTTAAAACATTCATAACATCCTTCCACAGCTCTCCATAGCTCAACCACGTTTGAGTTCATTCCTGAGAACAATCAGTCCTTCATAGTGTCTCTTCCCTATCCAGCTATTTGGAAAAACAAGCAAACGAACAGCTCATGGAAGTGCAATACCTAACTTCTGATGCCTTGTAAAATTTGACTAAAACTGGCCAATGGATTCAGAAATCATTGGACCAAAATGGGTGAGAGGGAAAAGAAAATATGTAAGCAGTATCACATAAACAGGTATATCCCTTGTTTTCCTAGGAATTTGAACTACACAGCATCACTGGCTTTTTGTTTGTCTGATTTTACCTCCTTTAAGTGTGAGATCTCCCGGTACAGCTCTAAGTCCATACTCTTCTATTCTCTTGCTCACCATATTATTCCACACATAACTCTGGTAGCTATGAATATACATTAAACGATTATTTCTTGGTATCTAGAGGTAAAGGGAAAAAAAAGTGAAACATTAGAAAGATGTATTTTTAGTTTTTTCTCTCAATCGTTACCAAGAAGTCATATATTTGAAATGTTACCTTCTCCAGCAACAAGACTAACGCAATTTCTTGGTATACAGATTTGATTTTTGTTCATTATTTGGGAAAAGGGTATGTGAAAAAATAATGCTTTTATACATTTGAAATCTGCACAAAAAAACCCTGTGCTTAAATTTAAAAAAAAAAAAAAAGAGCTTTTTAAAAAATATTTTTTTATTCAACAGCTCAAACACAGGGGGCTATTATAAAACATTGAACTCATACTCAACCTCCGGAAACCTTAAGTAAACTTTGCAGATGTGAAAGCACAGTGTTATTCTAATTATTTTCTTCTTAAACAAGAAATTATTCCTTGGCTTCTACAATGGGCCCAATAGTTTGCTGGTGATGAGGTATTTTCTCCGAAGAGTTGATCTTGATTACAATAGTTGAAAATGACAGTGAATCCACCACGTCTATGCCAAGCTGATTCATTAGCACACTATCAGCTTGATTTATACTTTCAAAGCGACAGAAAAACTCTGATACTGAACTTTTGCACAATTCTCAGATCTGTATGATACACGGTTACTAAGTGTAACTGTACTGCTTCCAACGTACCAGAGAGATTGTTGTATAAATTGGAAAGCTTACTATGCATACATTAATAACAGATGTCATCAGTTACTATGCGTCAGTACTTCAAGCAAAACGGCAGAATAAATGAAAAGGTTTTACACTTAACCTTCTACAAGCATCTATGAGTCTATTACAAATTCATCATGATACCGTCAAAAGAGCGTTTAGCCAAGTAAATACCCCACAGCACTTTTACACTCACTATGCCAAATGCAGAGATTATGTTCTTCATTCCATACTTTAAGAGTCCGCGTAGAAGCTGTCCTTCCACGCACCTTTTTACAGGTAGTTTCTTGAGGGCTGCTGCTGGATCTTTAGTCTTTGCCCATTCTTCTCTGCATTTTACTAAGTATCCCTTTTCAGCTAGAACGAGGATGTAAAATAAAAATATTTTAACTATGCACCAAAAGCATCCATCTCACCTTTTGTTAAAACAGTTGAAAAAATTAAAGTTTCGGTCATGGTAATTATACAGATTAACAGAATGACAGAATAGTTGAGGTTGGAAGGCTTCAAGTGAAGGCTGATCAGACTGTGTAAAAGTAATCAGGTCCCTTTTCACCCCCACTGCAAGAAACTGCACAGCAAGGGAAGAGAAGCAGAAAGGCAGAGAGTCTAAAGATTGCTTCTCCATTGCTAAACTGGCTGAAGTTGAGCACATGCAAAGCCATCCTCACAAACGTCCTTTCAAACAGAAAGAATCAAAATCTAAAAGCGTTTTTCCTGAACAGACAATTCTTGGAGGAGGAGAGGCAGAAACACCTGATGTATCATTTTTCAGTCCTTACCTCCTGGTCGTGGTTTTAATATCAAATCCATTACTTCATTCCAATTGTTCTGTAGAATAGCTCTAAGATTCAAACAGTAAAGTTTATTAAGACCTCACTAAATGTATTTTAAGGAGACTTAGCCAAATTATCCAAAAAAAGAAATATTAATGTTTAGATTTATGCAATATTAAAAGTAGTGCTATGATGCAAGATATCTGCTGAAGCAAGTTCAGAAACAAGCTCTTTCTTGAATCTAAAATTAAAACTGGCACATGCAATATGCTAGAAAAACACCCCCCAAAATACATTAGAAGTTATACAGGGACAAAAATAAAATAAAATTAAAAAAAAGGTGCGTGTGTGAAAACAACACATACCTGCCAATTTGATATGTAGGAACAGCTGTGGTTCCGAATCTTTGCATTCCATAGTAATTAATGAATCCAATTTCCCTGAGAGAGTGCATTGCTTGCTCTATCTGGTCATCAGTTCCTGTTATGTTTCTAGCATTAAAAAGAAAAAAGTTATAGACAGATTATTAAAGGCTTACATTATTTTGTGATCCCTATAATATTAAAGCTCAACATCAACATTATATAGCACTTATCAAATTCAACAGACTCCTGCCAACAGAAGGACTTTTCTTCTCTTTTGTAACACAAGACGCACTGATATCCCTTACCTATTTAAAGCACAGGGGCGGGGGGGGGGGGGATGAGAGAGAATCTAACAGAACTGTTTAAATACGTACTAATGTATTACCTGAGAACAACAGTGAAATGGTTCCCTTGCAGTTCTCCTAATTTCAGTGGATGGTTCTTGTAACTGAAATTTCCCAATTTGAAGTTCATCAAACATTTATTCAAATGCGCAAGTCTTTGCGCAGTGATTCTAAAAAGAAACAGACAGCAGTGACCAACCTATGCTTAGAAAAGCAGATAATTAAATAAATATAGAAATGCCGGCATTTCAAAACAAAAAGCAGCAAGTCCAGTTTCCCCAGTTTTCTATTGCTGCCTTTTCAAAGTATTTTAATGAAATATCTGAAAGAAAAGAACAGATAATTCTTAAGGCTACTTATACAAAAGGTATACCATGACAAATACTGTTAGTACTGTCTTTTCACATCTATGTAACAGTATATGCTCAAAAAAAAGTATGTTGCAATATTGACGTACACTGTACCCCACAAGCTGAACTCTGCTTTTTTTGAGTAACTACACCACGAATACGCTTCAGTTAGCACAGTCATAAACACGCAGTTAAGTAATTAGCTACTGTGTAAGCTTAGTGCAGATGAAGGAGTATGAAATCCAATCTGTCACTGACATCTGTCATTTTTGTTGCTAGTACTTTTGGAAGCACACCCTGTTCTTTGCATCACCGAGCTGCTCTTTGACACTTACGCTAATATTTATACCAGGATAGACGAGTTTATCAGCTAGCACGGCCAGCGTACTCAGCTCGGAGCGGGCTGATAAATGGTAAAGTCCCCGCTCCTGTGCCATCCTCCTCCAAGGCTGCGCAGGAGTCGGTCGGGTACTGTGGCACTGCTGAACAGGCACCACAAATCAGCACGTATGTGTGTGTATGTCCATCTGTCCATCCGTCCCCATCAACGCTTAGAACACATTTGTCCATCCGTCCGTCCCCATCAACGCTTAGAACACATTTGTCCGTCCGTCCGTCCCCATCAACGCTTAGGACACATTTGTCCGTCCGTCCCCATCAATGCTTAGGACACATTGAAGCTCTTGGACACAACATTAAATGTGATCATATTAAAAGTAAGCAGAACAGCACCTGAGATGGCTACACCACGGGTCTGGTTAACCGTCATCGCTTTGCAAACCTGCCTTGCAGCGACGAGAATCTGGGGCTTCTCACGATTCACAAATTAATAATTCCTTTTATATGTGCAAATGCATGCACACGCAAACCACTGGGAGGACAAACATGAACAATTAAGTAGTGAATGCCCTCCTTTTAACAAGGATTTGATCAAATTTCTGGCTCCCAAACCTTGGAATTCCTCACTTGAGGAGTGTGGTTTTCAAAGAGCTGTAAATAGTAGTCCAGGCAGAATATTCCAGGTAGCTAAACAGATACTGTAATATATGACTACGAGGCATCCATCATTCTCGATTACAGATGTAACACTAATTTCAAGCACCCAGAAATCATATAATTATCTTGGAATATAACAAAATACGTTTTATTTTATCTTAGCAGGTGACTAATGGACGTATGTTAAGGCAGAAAAAAAACCTCATCATCATTTTTTGCCCCTTCTGGCTACTCACAGATGAGCAAAGGCAGTGGTTAGCCTTCTCTGGAGCCGTTCAGGGAGTTCAGTGAGAAAGAAAATAGGATTTCAGCTGGAGGAAGGGGGAAACAAAAATCAGGAAGGAAACGGGACATCATTTTCACCCTGTCCCACTGCTTCAGCCAAATATGCATATCCAGCCTATGGCTCAGAGCACCACTGACTGAAAATGCTAGCAATCACCATGGAATAAAAAAGGATTATAGCACCTTCATTAATACATGTGCTTTACAAGATCAGGACTTGAATCCGCCATTTGTGTCGTGTGCGTATTGAGTCTTCACGGTATTTAGCGAGATATTCAAGTTATCATGGTAGGTGTGCAAATACTCCAGTATATTTTCACTTACCTAAGAACAGCAATCTCTTGAACGGTTATAGCCCTTTTATCTTTAGTTCCCATGTAGGAAAATATGTTTGGCTTCACTCTTAAAAGCAACAGTAACAGATATTGTGTATGTTATAATAGCCACAGATTGAACATAATTTTCAGCATAATTACCTACAATTATTAATCTTCTATATTAAAAACAGAAAATATACATATATTCCCCAGAACTAGGCTACAATTTGACACCCTTGAATATGTGTGACATTTTCTAATCTCATCTATAAGTACATAAAACACAGGGAAACTTCTGTTTTGATTATATGTAGACGGATTCACTTTTACCACAACTGTGCTTTCAGAATATGAGCTTTCAAGTACTTCTTTATATACATCCACTCAATGCATAAACGTGCAGCCAGCACTAATTTCACTAAAAAAAAAAAAAAATCATGTCCATTTATTCCTTAAACTTCAAATAACATGTCTGTTTGAATACCAGGCATGCACATTATGTGAGAATATGAGAAGTTAATTTAAAACCTGATCCACTTCTTTCCTTGAGAGGAAAATTTCCTTTCCTTTCCACTTTGTGTTACACAGGGAATATTTCCAGTTATTCCAGCTATGGGCAGCAGGGGGTAGCAGGATTGCCATTGCATACATTTTTCCACCAAACTATGCTCCTATCATTCTGTTCTCAAATACAAATACTAGTAGCATACTGGTTAAGAGTCTAGATTACAAACATTTATTTTTGGACAGGAAGGGAGAAGGGAAAAGGAAGGGAGAAGAGGGGAAGTTTCCCTATGAGTAGATCACTGAATTGACCCAATTTTAAAATAGTTCTTCCTCTGCAATTCACTGCATTCACACCACGCCTTTGGGCAAATCTTTTTGTTGCTGCACTTGATGGGGTGAAAGGAACTAAGACTGTGTTGCCATGGAGAAATTAATACATAGAACAACAGTTTACCAACTGTAACTGCTTAGGAACTGATCAGCATATTATCACAACAGTATCTGACAGGTTCATAACATACTTGCATATATTCACACACTGGGGAAAAAAACCCTGGCTTTTAATTCAGGTTACGCACATTGAGGCTTTGAGCTGCCAAGCCTTTCTCAGATCAGCCAACTTCAACTGTGGACCTTTTTCCATTGAACTAGTAGGGTACAGTCTTTTAAATTTCTTAGGATCATTTTGTTCCATTCTCACCTCCTTCCAAAACTTACAAGTTTCAAATTTGATATTCTAAGAGACCTTTTTTTTTTTTAAAAAAAACCCCACTGACTACAAATTAGGCAACACTTGTTTTGCTCTTACAAAATTCTGAAGCATAACGTTTACAGTAACAGGAAACATGCGGGGGGAGGACTGCATGCTAGCTGGCAGAAACAACAGCCTTACCTTAAAAATTTGGATAGGACATTAATGGCATCCATAGTATCCTTGTTCTCCTTGTACAGTACGAAGTGGCAGTAGCTTCCCCTAGATTTTGGCCAAGAGTGTTTTCTTGGATCTTTAAAAACAAAAGGTTAAAATTTGTAAAGTCATTTTTTTTAAATTTAATTAATATCTTTGCCATTGCAGCTACATTTAAAACAAATATGCAAGAGTCCGTTTCTGCTAATTTCCATCTGCTCTTTTTTTTATAAAAGAAAAAAAGAGAATTACTGACAGCAAAAGCTGCAAAGCACATTGAAGAAGACCTTCTCCCCTTCCACTGGGCTGTAAACGTCTCTTTAATCAATTCTGTCACCTAGAAAATCCTGAATGAAATGGTGACAGTTCCTTTGTTATGAAATAACCTAAAAATATATCCCAGTCATTTAACTGCCATATTGCATGATTAAATTTCTCAAAAACATTATCATTACACTGACCTTCAGTAACAAAAGCCACTCTAGACCTCATCTAGTGCCTTCTAAAATTAATAGATGAGGATCATTGCAGCCCGGTTTGTGGGAAGACTACAATTATTATTTATAGTACTAACATATTCGTTATTTCTGTAGGATTTTTTCTGTATGTCATGCAAAAGCATGGGTCATATCTCTACAAAAGCCTAAAAAAGAGTATACTCACAAAGAGTTTAAGGTGACTTTTTTTTTTAAAAGTTCTGTGGGAGAGAGAAATCTGACACAATAGAGACATTAACAAATAATTCAAGCCAGATACTGTGCCCTGTTTAGAGAATGCCAGAGGGAGAGAGAACTTCAGCTCCTGCAGACTAACAACTGATTTACAATTCTGTACAATTATTTGGTGTTTTCTGCAGAGGGAAGAAAACTGTCACTGTATTTGTCAAGCTTTTTTTGCACATAAAAGCCTCCAGAGATAAAACTTTCCTTTTACTGTTATTCACTGTTGATGGCATTACTGGCAAGGGGGATTGATTCTACACATGCTTAGCAACCAGTTTTGAGATGCTTTGTTTATCAATTCTTTGTTTTATAAGAACAAAACTAAGGATTTGTTTTGTTTTAAATAAGAAGTCCCCTATCTCTTGGTAGCCACCATGCAGACATTCCTGGTTTTGCACAAAAAGGACTTAAGTGTCTTTTGTAACATCGAAAGCCAACTGAAAAAGCCAGTCCTATTCCACTATATAAACACCAATGCAGGAAGGAAGTTCTTGGGAAATTTTGCTCTTTTTGTTCATGTTAGTTTAATAAAGCCCAGATATCCCACACAGACAGTGAATATGTTTAATTTTCATTAAAACTTTCTGGTTTTTTAACTTTTTTTGAGAAGCCACCATCCATACACACACTTCTGCAAAAACAATTTTGCATGCTACAGTATAAAGTATTACACATGTAGTTTTTAATCACTTAAAAATTATTGCAGCGCTTGCCTTGTAGCATCAGTTTCTAAGCAAACCTCCTCCTATGGAGTTTCCTAGGACCTAGGCTGAGCAGTATGGTCCAAAGCCTGTTAAGAGACCTCATGCTCCTGCTGGTCTGCCTTCTGAGCCACCACTGTTCTTAAACACAGTCAATGAAACACTGCATTCAGCTTGAAGAGCAAGGTCCTTCATGAAGAACTCCGTAGTTAGAAGGGAAGAGAGGAAGGCAGAGGTGGATTCACAGGGAAAGTCTTCTCCAGCTGGACTTATTCTTTAAATATAACCAACCCTTCTTGCACACGGTCATTTCAACATCCTTCAGGAAGTAAGCCCTAATCTGGGCTAGACTAAAAGGACTGTATAGATAGTATATATGCCAACGGGCTCTTCACGCTTTGGGCATCACAGCCATATGCCTATCCACCGCACTGCCAGCCACGCTGAGTACTGGGAGGCTGCAGCTCCAGTCCTGGTCTTTAACCATTCCTCACCCAATACTTCAAGGTATTCAACTGGGCCCTTTTTCCAAACCTTTTACTGCAACTCGAGGTCTGGAAGCTCTTTTTTAATATCAGGATATATGATATATACTTTTAAAGTTGTATAAATACAGATAGTGGTGTCTGAAATATAAGGCTGAAGCGCAAAGGCTTGGCTTAATGAAATCAATGGAAAATTTACCATAGATGTCAAACAGTATTGTCAAAACTGATAATTCACATCACTTATTACTGGCAGACTTTCTCTGCGCCAAGTAACTACTGCCTATACCGCACTAGGAAAAAGAGGTAGCACAAGCCCAATTCTTGGCTGTTTCAGGGAATTTTAAGCATTACTTATGTGTAAGGTTTTTTATTTGTTACTGGTTTGGCCAGTCTTGCGCTATTTAGGAGGTCGTAATCGTTGGCATTTCATTTTGTTAGCATGAAATGTCAACATTTCTTACCTGTTGCAGTTCTGACCTCTGTCCCAATGCATAGCATAAAGAGCACAAAAGAGTAGCATTTAATTTTTAGACTGTCGAAGGGTTTTTAGAGGTGAACATGCAGGTTTATGGTTATGGGATTGTTTATGCTTTAGAGAGCATCCAACAGTTAGGTGGTGGATGACAGCAATTTAGACAGTTATGCAATGGAATCGTGCAGAGGCAAACAGTGAACATATGGAAAGCTTCAACTGGAGATGCAACAAACTTCATTTGTGGACAATGATGAAACAGCAGTTTACTGACAATTTAGTAAGGCAGTATTTTAAGTATTTTGGGTGTAAACTTACTATAGCCACAAAGCAGCTTCTGATTTTAAATTTTAGGAAAGTATGTTTGGTAACCTTTTACATTATCAACAAAAGTAATCAGATATCTCAGCTAATATTCAAATATTCTACACTTCTGCAATCTTTCTTGACTGGGGAACCCACTCAGGACTAAGATGTGTTAGTGGCTATATAAACACGGAAGATAAATATAATCCTGACTAAAAAGAACTTGCATTCTTAAATCCTACATTCATAAGCATTTACACACACTCACTGCGCACATCTCCACCAACATGCACAGGTGTTTGTAGCATCACAACTTAGGAATCCGAGTTTAAATAAATGATGCTCCTCTGCATCACAAGATGGTGCTCCAGATAATGTTTTAATCCTAGAGACACGTCACTAAATTATTTTCAGTGTATTTCAAATACTTAAATTCTTTTATACCGTATCTCTGAAATCAGACTGGTCAGCTTAATAACAACCACTTGACCGTAACAATGGTTAAGGAATAGAAGCAGCAGAAGGAAAAGGTGGAGGTAAAACCATTACAAACCAACAGAGAACAAAACTGGCTGAGGAGAATTTTGTGCTGGTAAGTATACATACTCCATGCATAAACCATGCAAACATACATATTTTCTAAACATGGTTAAACAAGATACATAAACACATTATAATTGTACCAACAAAAGTACAACATCCCCATATTTGCTTAGAACAAGCCTTAAAAAACAATAACTGAATTGAATGTGGAGATGGTTTTATTTCCAATTTTAAGTTATCTCCTTATCCTTTCTCCATCTCCTTCATCTTTAAAATGAAAGGGCTAGGCTTACATACTGTCATTTGTAGCAGGTTGAAATGACATAGGAATGCAGTTTAAACCAAACCAAACCTTAACACCTTTCGTTAAATGTGCAACATTCTGCATGTAGACAATCCTCTCAACTTACAGTAGCAACAAATTTGTAATAACATTAAAAGATGTAGAACACATGAATTTATCCCCAGTAACCAAAACAATATTTGACAAGATTAAGGTGGATAACACTTCATTTTGAAAATCCTTCATTACTTTGATTATTCCAAAATAGTAACTGTGATTTGTAACAAATAAAGACAATTTTCTTCAAATATAACTAGCCTGGGAAGCAGAAGTAGCCTTACAGATCATGGTAAACATAATATGTTTTATATAAAACTATAACTCTGAGAGAACAAATAGGTGCTTGTCTCTATTCAAGTAATTGAGAAATTTGTAATGGATTTTCAAGACAGTCAAGATTACACTGTCAGTGTAACATACACATTTCAACTACACTATCTTGCTTCCACAATCACACTTACACATCCAGGTAAGTTCATGAAAGCCAAGTTCAAACAATACTGAAAATAAAGCCCCTATTCTTCCTATTCCCACTGAGGTAGCAAAAGATCCTCTCACTTCTAACATGGTTGTAGTTGATGAATGATTTGGAAAGAAAAACAAGTAGAAATTTAAATTCGAAACACTCCTTGTGTTTCTAGTCATTTTAGATGCACAGCATCAATTGCAAAGAGGAAAAAGCAAAGCCAGACTACATTAGGTGGTATGCTCCACTTGAAGGACTTACTAACAACTACTATTTTGGGGATAACTTTAGCATTTACTTTACCCAACTGCTGTGATACTGAAACTCACTTGCCAGTGCTTTTTTCCCAGCAGCATGATAAGCAATAATGTATTTTTTTCCATCTCGATCTTCTGTTTTAGTCTCCAGTCCAGGAAACAAGGACTTCACAGCCTGATGGATAACTGTTCTTTTTTCTTTGGTGTCTTCAATTACCTGTGTTAATACACACACATGCAGAAACCAAATAAAGTAATACAAAAGGGGAGGGATTCTCTCAAGGTTAAATTTTGCATGCTTAAAGAAAACCTACCAAACCACACTAAAGTACTGAATAGGTATACTTTTAAAAGTCTGGCCTACTTCTTAAAAGTAGTTTGAAAAATAATAAAGAACTCTGCTACAAACCCCAGTCTCAACATTCACAAACCAAAACTCTCAAGATTTACACCCCTCTTCTCTGCTTAACAAAATTCCCTCTTCTAATGAAAACTCTGGCAAAGATGAAGTTTTTCTACATTCATTAAAGAAAAAAAAATGGCTAGATAAGATTATTTAGTGTGTGAATGCTTATTTGAAATTACCAGATTTAATCCCACTCATCTCTGTGTCCCAAATTTAGCTCATCAGTTATTCTTCAAGTATATGGAATATTTGGATGTTTAAAAATACCAAGTTTTAATTTCTTTTTGTACATTATTTTTCTTGTTACAGAAGAGCATATTTACCTTCTTTTCTATTAAATCACTAAACACTGACCTTGAAAATAGTCTTTCATCAGAATGGATGTTTTATTTAACTCTTCTTACATAATTATCCTATAAAACACTACTAGGCAGAAAACCAAAATACCACAAGAAAATTTTAACACCACAGAAATTAAGACATATGTTTGAGTTCATGCATACAGTCCCCCTGAACTCAAAATGACAACTCATGTGCATGAATTTCAGCATATCTGTAAGGCTTTACAGAATTGAACCCCAAACTGGAAACATTTCGGTGTCACTTGTTACCTCGTGTTCAAACTGCTCTTATACCTTACATGCATTAGAAAGCACATACCTTCCACTCACTCACTCTCTTATCCTCCTCCCCCACCCCAAACTTCGTATCATTTATTAATTTTACCTCTATGGCAACACTAGTTTCCTTATTCTTAAGAAGCTGGAGCTCCTCTAAACGCTGCTTGTCTTCGTCTGACAAAACTGTAAATGTTTCTTCTGATGGGTCCTAATACATATTTGGGGGAGGAAAAACAAACATCCAATAACCTGCATGGAACAACTTTCAGCTTTTTAAAGTTTTTGCTTAAGGACCATAGCCATTACCGAATCTTTACCTCAGAATTTACCTCATCATCCACTGGAACAGAGAAGTCATCTAAATGGCTCACACGTCCATCTTTGCCTATTTCATGGACAACAAAGTCTGAGTACCTGATAGGAAGAAACACGTTAAAACTGCAATAAAAAAATAAAAATCTCACATCACATCAAGTCCTTTCCCAAGAAGCTGTTTGTTAGCAGAATTCATTCAAGAATTCTGAATTCACGCAATTCAATGCATGTAAAGGAAACTTGAACCATGAGAAAGCTGTACCTATTCTCACCCCTCAGAAGAATACCATGAGAACACAGAAGAAAGCCTGGCATATCTAAATGCAGCAGACCCCTTTGCAGATAACCCAACACCCGCTGTAGTTATTCCGAGTCATTTCATTACTAGCCTGCAGAGATCAGTAATGCATATCCTCAATCCCAGTCATTACTGCCAATTAAGACTCTACTGCATTGCTACGGTGTGAACACAAATGCATTAACTCTGTCACTTCAAATAACCTGCAGAACAAACTACATGTGAGCCACTCTTTGAGGAAAGCAGGACAAATTCAGCTGTTACATATATTCAATTATAGAGAACATCTTTCACATAAACAGCTACCCTGCACTCTCTATGACAGCAACACAGAATTTGACTGTGACATTTTTGATCAAGTCACTATGTCCAATAATAAAAACATCCTGACTTTAACAGAGCACAGTCTATGTTGCAATTGCTAAATGATTTTTAAGTAGCATCTGCTTGTAAAGGAAAAAAAAAAAACAAAAAGAAAAAAAAATTCTTAGGCTATGAGTGTTGAAAAATTAATAAAACTTCACCACGGGAATGTTTCTACTGTATCTCCCCCAAGCCTCCGTTTGCCATACCTCTGTGCAGCCATACATCATATCAGTAGAATACTTTCCCGAGGAGTGTTGTGTGTCCTCTCTCTTATTATCTGTAGCTGTCTGGACATGCTAGTGACTGGTACCATAAAAATGCCAGGACTAAATTAATGATAGGTGTTATAAACTAGGATCAAAGAAAAACCATAAGCCCATGAACGCTTCTACTACCTGGCGACCTTTGGCCACCTCGGTTCAAAACTGGCAGACTTCCCAGAAGGAGGTTCAGCACAGACTGTGTTCCCCAGTGAAGGATTATGCTAGCTGCTTAATGCTGCATAAAAGATTAAATACATACACAATATGTACATATCACTTTGTTATGTAAAATGACCTCTATATAGGCCAGTATTTAAAAACAGGGACTTCTTGGTGCGTCAACAAAGCACCCTTAACTGCTTTGCTAAGTCAGGGCAACAATGATTCTCACTTCAGTGAGTTTTTGTATTTGCATTCTGTTTTAGTCAAGGATGTTATTTAATTTAAAAACCCTGGAAGTTTCATTTAAAAAAAGCTACTAAACCCCAAACATCTTATTAAGTATATAATGTAAAATCCCACACCCTGAGTTATAAAATTCCCTTTTATGTTTCATAAATGACATTACAACTGATCAGACTATAATTTAAAGCCTAATGGGCCATCCGACAATATACGTGTTTGAAGACATTAGCACAAAAAATTCAGGGAAAAGCAAAGAAGAACCAAAGAGGGATGGTTTCAATACCGTTCTCCAGTGCATCTTGTATCAGCACTGAAGAGTGGTACAAAAGGTGGGTGTACTGCATAAGGTTTTATGCTGTATGCTGCTGCCAGAGAGCAAGACAAACGGCAAAGGTCAGTGTAATCATGCATTTCTATCCATACACAGCTTCCTTCTTCAAAGCTCCGTTTGACAGGAATGAAGAAAGGAAAAAAAAAAAAAAAAACAAAAGAAGAAAACCAATCTAGGAAAGTCCCAAATTAAACCTTTGTTTCAGTCTCAGCACTAGGAAAAGAAAGTGATGAACCTCCCAAGTGGCCGCACATAATCCAGTTGCATCCTGCGAGTCAGAAAAGGAAAATGGAGAACAACAGCTGCTTAACACAAGGAATAAATGTACATAACAAGACAAAGAGTTACCTCTCTTTTAAGATTCCAGAAAACCCTTTATGAGAGCTAACAAATTTAGTTATGCCAACATCACTTTCTGTCAGTCCATGCTTCATCATGTCTGCAAAGCTCTCTGGATCTCCATCTTCATCACTGTCCTCTAGCTCCTCATCTTCCTGCTCCTCACTTTCCTCATTGGGGATTATTTCATTTTTCGTGTCCTCAAGCAGAGATTTGTCAGGTTGTTCTGTTACAGTCTCAACGCTCTGCCCAGAGTCGTTCCCTGTCTTAGACTTCTCTGAGATCTTCTGTCTTTTGATTTCGTCTGCATTAGCCACATCATCCTCAGAGTGAGGACGTTTCAAGGATACACTATTCATTTCTACAGTTTCCATGTTTAAGGCACAGTGTAGGATAGAAAGCCCTGAGGAGCAAGAAGAATGGCTTATTTCCTGTCTGCTTAAGAGCAATATCAACACATAGTCTCTTCACTCCAAGGACTCTGCGCCCTGCAACAGTTCAGGAAAACCACATAACTTTCTGCATTTTTAAGTTAAACATCAAGTAAAGATTTTGTACAGCTAGAAACAATGTGTACTTGGGAAGAGAGAAGGGAGATGTTAAGGGGACTTAACACCCACCCCAGGCAGCATGCATGTTAGGCTACAGAAGAGCAGGATTCAATACTACACTAACCGTTTACCACCACTGTCGCTCTTGCCAACTCGTACCACAGCTGCATCCAGCCCTGTGCACACAGGCTCTGCTGTCCATAGCAATTTAGTGCCTCACAAACTTTTTGTTCCCAAGCTTTCTGTTAAACACGACTACTCTCGATTATTCCTTGTCCTACCAAGATTCCATCTTGCAAGGATTGAGAGAGGATGGCTCAATTCCCCCAAACCTGAAATCTCATCTCTTCTAACACACACAATCCCACACAGAATCATAGAATCATAGAATCGTTTAGGTTGGAAAAGACCTTTAAGATCATCCAGTCCAACCATTAACCTAACATTACCAAGTCCACCACTAAACCAATTAAGGGTAGAGTAGTAATTTCGTGTTACCTGGCTTGGTGGCTGGATTATTTTTAATGAAAGTAAAAACTAGGAATCATTAAGGTTGGAAAGGACCTCTAAGATCATCGGTCCGACCATCAACCCAACACCCCCATGTCCACTAAACCAAGTCCCAAAGTGCCACGTCTACCCGTTTTTTGAACCCTTCCAGGGATAATGGAAGTCAAGGTGGCAGCAACTCAGACCAAAAGATGAGAGGGATGAGATAACAAAATCCTTGAATGAGTGGGACAAACAAAACAACAAGGAAGTGAAATGATCTCTGAGAAGAACATGACTACTCACACTGGTGGAGCAGAGCTCTGACTCTTCCCTGGCACCTTGAGCTGCCACCTTTGCGTCAGCAGAACTAGTACCTTCAGATCTGAAAAACAGAGGAAAACTAACTCTTTGACAAAGTCTTAGGCAAAAAAAAAGGACTATGAAAACATGTATGAATGTGGTCATTACAGAAACCAGCCACCTCTGAACCCAGGTACCAGTAGTTATATAGGAGCAGACACTACTCAGACAGTTAATAACAAACACAATTGTAAAAGTGTTATCAAGCTAGTGACATAACACAATATTGCTATTCAGCAAGCCACAGCAGAGAAGTTTGGGTTTATTTCTACGTTCATGGAAGGAGACCAGATTTCCTGTAATTAGGCAATGACGGGACCTTTCTCCCAGCATCGCCCACCTGGCACACCGGTGTGTTGGGGATAAACCGCAGGGTTTGGTAGCAGGGGGCTGCATGGGAAGAGGCCATCAGCTGCCCTGTGCTGGTCACGGCCAGTTCCATCTGGCTCCATAATGGACCATACCCACCGCCTGCCAAAACTCCAACTCATCCGATGAGCACACAGTGCCTCTGCTCCGGCTTATTTGAGAGGGAGGAGCTGCCAGTGGCAGAAAGCACAACGGGAAGCACAGGAGGCGGTGTGTGACTGGGCTAAAAAAAGACATGGGGGGAGGCACGGGGAAGGGGACATTGTTGGGGACACGGCTGGAGACGCCCTCTTGGAAGGAGGCTCTCCACACCCGAGCAGGGACACCCCTGAGAGGACTGCAGCCCGTGAAGGTGCCCGCGCCAGGGCAGGGACACCCTTGAGGGCACCATGGCCTGTGGGGGGACCCACATGGGAGCAGAAGAAATGAGAAGGAAGGAGAAGCGGAAAGAAACCTCCATGCACCAACCCCAAGCTCCTGCACCACCGCTGCCTGGCCCAAGGGACAGAGCGTAACCTGTGGGGACAACTGGGGGAGGGGAGACAAGGAAAGCAGGGGACGGGAGGTGTCTGGAGTGAAGGGGAGGGGCAGGAAAGGAGTTTTCCCCAACTGTTTAACTGGTTGTCTTCTTTGTAGCTGACTAGCCAAATCACTAATTAAAAGTTTATGTTAACGGGCAATAAATTAAATTAAATTCCCCAAGTCAAGACAGTTTTGCCCACAACAGGCAAGTTTCTAAATGAACAGGATTCAACTGCTACTAAGAAATTAATCTAGGTACAGAGCAGTATTTTAGAGCTACACACATCATCCTGTATTATTTCTCCAGCCACTAGATAGCATATTCTATTTAATTTTAAAGGGTATGTTTTTAAAGGAAGACTCATTACCAACTCGATAATCACCATGTGATGGGTTGTTAACTAACTGTTACCAGTTAGCTGTTTGCTACTGCTGATTTCATCACCTAGACTTTCTGTTCTAGAGGTCACAAACCTAGGGTAAAGAGGCAGGAACAACTGCTTTAGAAACACCTGAAACGTTTTGCTCAAATGAAGAACTGAAAATGGACACCTGAAAAAAGAATGGACAAAAAGGAAATAAGGAGAGTCTTATAAAAAAGTGTATGTGGTGCCTGAAGAGAGGAGTGACAAAACACATGCAGAAGAAAGCAGAACAATCAGCAAATCAATGTACCTTCAAGCAGAAAGCACCAATTTCAATTTGTCCTCAAATAAAAACGAAGGATGTAAAATCCTGCTTTAAAAATAAAAAAATAAAAAAAAAGAAATCACACCCAGGAGAAGCAATTCACCAGCATTTCCAGATTCTTCTATGTTCCCAAATTTACGGAGCCCGGGTTATAAAAGACTGATGTGGAAAAGGCTTCTAGATGGCTTGTGAATGTCTTCACGTGGCAAACAAAACACCACTCGGCACAGAGAAATCCTCCGAGACACCTGCCAAAGGAGGTAACAAGACAAATCTCATGTTTCTAAAACAAAATTGTAATACCTAGTTATTGAATAATACAAACTGTTAGAAGAATTTAACGTCGGCCACAAACACGCCGAAATTGTCAGATATGGCCTGTTCTCACAGCAGAGGAATGGCTCGCATACAACGAGGTACTATCCTGTACCAAATGGTGGCCATCATCTGGGAAAACTTCTGCAGGACAATTACTTGAAGGAGCAAACTGAAGTGAGCGGGGCACATGCTGTCTCACTTGCCCAGATCGCTAGTGAGAGGCGCCGATGATTTTCTGACAGCTGCTCAACTGTCTCGGCCCTTTTCCTAGCAAACAGGTGTTTCCATAAAAGCCAGAATCTGCATAAAGAGCAACTCCAAAAAAGCAAGAATCTGCAAAAAGAGCAACTCCATAAAAGCCAGAATCTGCATAAAGAGCAACTCCAAAAAAGCAAGAATCTGCATAAAGAGCAACTCCGAAAAAGCCAGAATCTGCATAAAGAGCAACTCCAAAAAAGCCAGAATCTGCCTAAAGAGCAACTCCGCAGCAGGTTTCAACAGAGACCCGTGTTTTAGCAGAGACTGAATTTACTACTACAAATAAAGGGCTTGATTCTCCCCAGCGAGAAATGCTGAGCCACTAGTTCTGGTGTGGTACCTGGCAGGCAGGGGCACGGGCAGGTGGGCGGTATTAAAACAATAAAGAAGAGCGGGCGCAGGCCGGCGCTGGGTACGAAGCTGGCTCCGCCTGAGGCGAGGCGAGGCGGGCGGGCACCATGACCCAGCAGCGCCCGCGGGAGGCAG